ATACTCAATTCTCTTTTGTTCTAAGCAGTTTCCTGTTTGTGTACCCCTATGTAGTTGAACAGTAAAGCACATGGTGACTGTACTCTTTGTTTGCTCTGTAGTACTTTACATAAACTGAATTTCTAATAGTAAGAAGTATTTTTTAAAAATTATATCCAAAGCTAATATATTCCTAAATTAATATTCCTAAATTAATCCATAAATTTGAAATTTCTGCTCAGCAGTCAATTTGGTTCTATCTGCCAGCACTTGATGTTACTATTAATAATGTAAAATAAATTAATTCCTAGTGGAATTCGACTTGAGGAACCAGGAGCATTTTCCTTGTTTGCTAAGTGAACGTTGTCTCAAAATCTAGGTGTTTGATAGAGTTCGGGAAGAGTGGCCCAATTTCCATGAGAAGATTAAGCCCATCAGTGCTGAATTCACCAAGCCAAACCTGGCCATCTCTTCTGAAGACATGGAGGAGTTGCTTTCTGAGGTCAACGTGATCTTCCATTGTGCTGCAACAGTTCGATTTGATGAGCCTCTGAAGTAAGTTCTTCTTCTGTCCTTCATTTTATTGGAAATCACCACTTTGATATAACAACCTTCAGGCCATTCCTGAAGACATTCTCAGAGGGAAAAATTAGTTACCAAGAAAGAGCAATGGATGGTGGGTTGGTTGGTTCATTCATTCATTCACTTCATTCATTCATTCATTCATTCATTCATTCATTCATTCATTCATTCATTCATTTATTAAATAATTTGTAAATTCAACCATGCCAGAGGTATATTTCCAATTTTACAACAGAGACCTTTTGTAAGATGATGTAATTTCCACTTGTGGTTTTCTCCATGCCACGTGAGATACTACTGACACCAAAGCAGTGAGGACAGATTTCCAAATCCAGCACAGCAGTTTTATCTCTGTGAAATTATGTTCCTCTTCAGTGTTTGAAGAGGATCTCAGGAGAGCCAGAAGGATTGGTTTGGACTTCCTCTCACACCAGGTGAACCTCATCCTGGCTTTTTGTGCTTTCCTGAGCAGGGATGCCCTTCTCCTGAATGTCATGGGCACCCAGCAGCTCCTGGGGCTGGCCCACCAGATGAAGAACCTCCAAGCCCTCATCCACGTTTCAACGGCCTTCTCAAACTGTAATCGGAGACACATAGAGGAGGTCATCTATCCTGTTCCTGTAGAACCAAAGAAGCTCTTGGAACTGGTGGCGTAAGTAATGCAACCAGAGGTGTATTCAGCCAGTTTGGACCAGTTCTAGCATGCCGGTAGCGAAAATTTTGAGTAGTTCAGAGAACCGGCAAATATCACCTCTGACTGGCCCCACCCACACGCCCCTGCCCTTTCCTGTCCTATATTCCCTTGTTTTTTTAGCTCAGCTGATCTGCTCTGCAGAGTGGATTGCCGCACCTCAGCTGAGGTAAAAACAGTTCACCTCACCCCCATTGATATAGAGGGTGGTCTTTGAGCCTCGTGGGTGCAAAAGGCACGCTCTCAGAACCAGTAGGAAAAAAATTTGGAAACCCACCACTGGAAGCAACCCTTCCTCTGTTGTGATGTATTTGCAAGTACATTTGAAGCAATAATTGTTGTCTTGTCCTATACACTTTCTTCCAAGAGAGAGAGGATTCATGGTAATGAAGTTCCAGAAATGGACAAGATTTATGTAGATGCCTCACGCAAAGAGTATTGTTACAATGTAGAATAGAATTCTTGATAGAATAGAATTCTTTATTGGCCAAGAGTGATTGGACACCCAAGGAATTTATCTCCGGTACATAAACTCTCAGTGTACATGCGAGCAAAAAGTGATAAATCATGATCATAATCACAAATACAATGATTATATAATATAATGAACTTTGTCCTGGTAAATAGTAATGGAGAAGGAGGAAACACATACTCTGACAAAAGAACATCAACCATCATTGTGTTACCTTCTTGACTCTTTGGACTACAGCGTCAGGCAATCCCAGTTTGCAATAGCAACAGCACCTAGACTCATATACCACTTTGCAGTCCTTTACAGCCCTCTCAAGGAGTCAGAATATTGTCCCCAACAATCTGGGTCCTCATTTTAACCACCTCAGAATGATGGAAAGCTGAGTCAACCTTGAGCCTTGTGAGATTTGAACTGCCAAATTGTAGGCAGCCAGCAGTCAGCAGAAGTAGCCTGCAGTACTGCACTCTAACCACTGCACCACTGCGGCTCCATGGTCTATCAGCTGATAAACAGTGCTCCCTCTGTACCTGGAGCCTATGGGAAGCCTAGAAGTTATATGATGTCATCAGACCAGTGGTGGGATTCAAAAATATTTACTACCGGTTCTGTGAGTGTGGCTTGTTGGGCATGGCAGGGGAAGGATACTGCAAAATCCCCATTCCCTCCCCATCCCACTAACCTGCTTTCCAGCTCCGTTCTCCTGTGCAGGGCAACAAAAGAAAAAAAAAGAAGAGTTGTAAACCTAATCCTGCATAGCTTTTTCTCCGGTAATATCACTCTACTAACTAGAGCATACAAAACATTTGCTAGACCAATACTTGAATACAGCTAATCAGTCTGGAACCCGCATTACATATCGAATATTAATACAATTGAGAAAGTCCAGAAATATTTCACAAGAAGAGTTCTCCACTCCTCTACTCATAGTAGAATACCTTATGCCACCAGACTTGAAATTTTAGACCTAGACAACCTAGAACTATGCCACCTTCGGTTCGACCTATGCATAGTACCTAAAATTATCTATTGCAATGTCTTACCCGTCAATGAATACTTCAGCTTCAACCACAACAATACAAGAGCACACAATAGATACAAACTCAAGGTAAACCGCACCAAACCTGATTGCAGGAAATACAACTTCAGCAACAGAGTGGTCAATGTCTGGAATACTCTACCTGACTCTGTGGTTTCTTTCCCAAACCCCCAAAAGTTTAACCTTAGACTGTCTACTATTGACCTCACCCCTTTCCTAAGAGGTCTGTAGGGGGCGTGCATAAGTGCACCAATATGCCTACTGTCCCTGTCCTATTGTTTCTTTCTTTTTTCTTATTCATATCCATTTCATGTATTCATAACTATGTTTATACTTATGCCTGTTATCTTATAATCGCTTGACAAAATAAAATAAATAAAAAATAAATAAATAAGACCCAGCCGATCATCTCAATGGGAGACAGAGGATAGATGGAGGCAGGGCCAGTCAGAGGCGGTATTTGCCAGTTCTCTGAACTACTCAACATTTCCGCTACTGGTTCTCCAGAACTGATCAGAAACTGCTGAAAAGCAGCTCTGCATCTGACCCTGCAATCTCATATATAGTGTCAATGTGAGAAATGTGAGGTCCACTTGAAAACCTCTCTTAGATTTAACAGAGATTTCTAACTTCCACTTTAGAGGTGAGCAGGAAAATGATTTTTGATTCAAGGTGACCATCAGCAGAATAGGGTATGATTCCATTTGTAGAAGGCCTTTCCGTTTTCTTGTGCTGCAAGACTTAAGCCGATTTTTACAATTCATTTTGTTATCCTTCAACAGACATTAATACTTCATTTCAGTATAAGCTTCTACAGTACCCAACAATTATTCCATTTCGGAACAAACATATTACATCCATCTGTAGAGATTCTCAGTCATCCAGGTCATGTCCCAATTTGGGATGAACACCCTTTGAATGGTGTGAGAGTAGGAACAGATTTCCAGAGGAAAAAAATTGCAGACTACAGAAACCATTTGCATTACTCAGGTTACCCTGAGGACACAGAGAAACCTTCAAGTGGCCTCAACCACCCTCTGAAAGGATGCAAATGACCAGCCGTATGCAAGGAATATAAATCCTTCCATTCTCCACCATCCAGTCAGAACTGAAGAAGCTTCTTGGATGAGAAGTGAAACATCTTCAAAACAAAAAACAAGAAAGTCCAGTTGCCTCCTGAAAAAGCCCCTTTGGGATATTACATCCATTATCTCAAATCTGAGATACATTATTTTTGCATGTTCATGTTCTTTTCCAATGTATTCTTGTCGCGAGTTTATTCCTATTTCAATAGCTTATGGATGATTGTAATGACGTATGATTTTAATTCAGTGGAAGATTTATTGTGCAATTTCTGCATATATGTGTGACAATGTGAACATACACCCCGTGTGCTTTTCTTCTTTTAGTTTCCTGCTTTGGTTTCTTGAATATATGAAAATCAAAACAATTGAAACAAATTACATGGATTTCTTCACATACAGCCATATCTGCTTATTCACTTCTACTTAGTTGCATAAAGGAAGTCAAGCCATGTAACAGAAATTTAACTTTTACAAGGCTGTGCATACGAAAATGCATAAGGAAAAATGTTCGCCTTGCCTCCCCATGGATATTTTTATATTTGAAAAATAACCCTTAGGTGACAGATGGGTCCCCCATATAGCTTTTCCAAGCAAATGTGTATAAAAATACATAAGGATCAGAGGTGGTATTCAGCAGATTCTGACTAGTTCTGGAGAACCAGTAGCGGAAATTTTGAGTGGTTCGGAGAACTGGCAAACACCACCTCTGACTGGTGATTTTACAGTATCCTTCCCCTGCCATGCCCACCAAGCCATGGCCAAAGAACCAGTAGTAAAAAAAAAAAATTTGAATCCCACTACTGATAAGGACAGATTTAACAGATAAACAGAATTGGAAGGGACTGCCATTTGTCAGAAATGTTTATAACAAAAAATGTTCAAATCTACCCTTGTCCTTAACTCTGTAACTTCCTTCCTTTATAGACCACACAGGAAATATAACCAGATAAGATAATTCTGCTTCATGGTAAAGCTACATTAGCAGAAACGTGCGAGCTGGAAAGTATAGTTCTCCTGCTTTCTCTTTTATAGGCCAAAAAACTAAGGAGGGTCTTTTTAACAGATAATCAGAGTTGGAAGGGACCTTGTAGGTCATCTAGTCCAAGCCCCTGCCCAAGCAGGAGACCCTACACCATTTCTGACAAATGGCAGTCCAATCTGTTCTTGAAAGTCTCAAGTGATGAAGCTCCCACAAGCTGTTCCATTAGTTGATGTTCTCACTGTCAATATTTTTCTTCCCATGCATATCTTTTATGGGTTTTTTTTAATCCCCTTAGGTGGATGGATGGGTCCCTCATTGAAGCGATCACCCCCAATTTGATTGGAGACTGGCCTAACACCTACACCTTCTCCAAAGCTCTGACTGAACATCTGATCCAGCAGGAGAAAGGAGACTTAAATGTGGCCATCGTTCGACCTTCCATCATGGGAGCTAGTTGGCAAGAGCCTTTCCCGGTAAGTAGGTTTGCTCTACCAGTGCTTGGTTCTCATCCAACACCGAGTAAAAGGGTTGATTTAGAACCGTTCTCTGCAAATAAGAATGTCATTTCCCTGCAGGAGGGAAGCCATCACCAATGAACTCTAAAGCTTGGATAATATAAATCAAGATGAATTTGCCAATAACTAATGGAATAATATGAATTGATAAAATTTGCAAATGTGACGGATATAAGAATATATGATTAATGAATATAGAGAATGAAAGAGAATAAAGAGATGGATATAAAGCAAGGGTCTCTAAATTTGGCAAGTTTTAGACCTGTGGACTTCAACTCCCAGAATTCCTGAACTAACCTGACTGGAGGAGGAATTCTGGGAGTTGAAGTCCACAAGTCTTAAAGCTGTCAAGTTTGAAGACCCCTGATATAAAGTAATGTATGAGAATATAAAAAGGGGAATTGGTAATAGATAATGATGTGAAATTAGACAAGAAAGCTGTATCTGTGATTATGGTCATGTTTGATTTAAAATGTAAAAAGCCTGGAACCCCACTGTTCACCCAAAGGTGTATTTAAAGAAATAAAAATAAAACATTACTTGCAAAAATAAACCACCACCACCAATGGACTCTAAAGCAATAGTTTGCCTCCAGAGAGTCAACCTGGATGGGTTTTATCATGATCCAAAGGCCATGAGGTCCAGAGCTGGTGAACCAGTAGCGGAAATTTTGAATAGTTCTGAGAACCGGTAGCAGAAATTTTCAGTAGTTTAGAATATCACCTCTGACTGGCCCCACCCCCATCTATTCTCTGCCTCCTTCCCCTGGAGTGGGGTGGGAATGGAGATTTTACAGTATCCTTCCCCTGCCACGCCCATCAAGCCACACCCACAGAACTGGTAGTAAAAAAGTTTGAATCGCACCACTGATGAGGTCAAAAGAACTCCAGCAAGGTGTGTCACAGTATATTTATGAACTGGAATAGAGCTTGGTAACAAGGTCAGCCAATGAATAGGCATAGCAACTAAATCAGCCAATGAGGATAGTTTGGAAACTGAAACTAGAAGTAGCCTAGGCTGGAAACTGAAACTAGAAGTAGCCTAGGTGTGGCTCTATATTAAGCTCTGCAAGTCTGCAGCTATGTGAAGCTCTGAATCTGTCTATTGAAAATGAAACTGCTTCTCTCCTCTTGCTTGCCTGCTGAACTAAAGTAAAAGAGAAACTAACTTGCTTGCTTGCTGAAGACTGGAGCTCTGCTCTGAACTTGCAACATGTTTCTGTCTGAGTTTGCTCCATGTTGGAGAAATCTACAACTGGTTTGGAAAATCTACTTATTATGTTTATAAAGATGTTTTAAATGAAGCATCAGCCATCTGTGTATATTTTTCTGGCGCTGAATTAACGCTGCAAAACTGAACAAAGTGGACCTCATTCTCAAGGGTTAGATCAGGGGTGTCAAACTCAAGGCCCGCAAGACGGGGTGCTTAAATCTGGCCCATGAGGCCACCCTGGAAACAGAGAAGGACTGGCCCATGGTGCCTCTGCCAGCAAAAACCAAGCACAGGATAATGTGGCCCACCTGAGCTCCTTTTTCAGCTGTGGTGGCCTTCTGCAACCCTCTGTCAGCAAAAACGGAGCTCGGGAAAGGAGTACATGGCCCATCCAAGCTCCGTTTTTACTGGCAGAGTGCTCAGGCCACCACATGTACCCCCAACATGGGTGACATTGAGCTGGCCACACTCACCCTGGCCACGCCCACCCGGCCCCCCGAGGTCAAACACAACCCTGACGTGGCCCTTAATGAAATCGAGCTTGACACTCCTGCTGTAACACTTTCATTAATGGAAACAGAGGAGATAGCTCTCCCATCTTCCAGTGTGACTGTCAGCAGCCCTCTCTTACAGTTTAACTTGGACAAACTGGTCACGCTTTACACAAAAGAATAAACAGACATGAGCCTTGGTGGTGCACTAGTTGGAATGCAGTATTGCAGACTAATTCTGCCAACTGCCATCAGTTCAATTCTCACCGGCTCAAGGTCAACTCAGCCTTCCATCCTTCCGAGGTTAGTAAAATGAGGATTGTTGGGGGCAACGTGTTGACTCTGTAAACTGCTTAGAGAGGGCTTTAAAGCACTGTGAAGCAGTTTATAAGTCTAAATGCTATTTGTTGAGGTAATTCCCTGTTAGGAGAATGAGTGCATACAGGGAGACGTATTAAGAGAAGTGTTTGAATAATACACACACAGCACACAGATACACTGTACAGTAAATGTAGGTTTTTACTTCCAGAAAGGTTTAAGCAAAGTTCAAACAAGCAATCCAAAGTCATTCACATGTAAGATCAGTCAGTTTTTAGTCCAGGGATAATCCAATAACAAATTCCAGTGTCAAAAACAGTTCAGTATCAGACTTACATCAAATCCAGGAATAGCAGTCAATTAGAAGGAATGGCAATATTCTCCAACAGAAGGAAAAACAGAGATTCACTCACTTCACTGAGACTCTTCTCAGGTTTCTGGCTCCATCTTATGGCCGTTTGAGTAACCACACCCAATTGCAGTTTTTAGCATGCTCTTAAAGAGACAGTATTAAAATGTCTATCCTGGTTTATATATTTCCATCCCAAATAGCTGTTAGGTTACTTACATTCCTAACACTATTGCTATTTCTCAGTGCACTATTAACACGATCATAATTGCATGAATCTATGCATCATAACTAACTACTGGCTAGTAATGTTCATAAAATTCTCCTTTCATCTTTTCTATTTATGTACGTGCTGACAATGGCTGAGGTTTTTAAATAAATGAATATTTCAGCCAATTATCTTTCCCCCCCCTCAAAATTGCTAGTCTACAGTCATTGGCTAGGAAGGATCAATTTTCTTTACTGTTCTATCTGAAAAACTAGCTTGAAGTTTGGGTCCCTTCACCAAAATTCACAAAGAAGCAAATCTGGTAACTTCCATATTCATTTCCAAAGTTTGGGCAGAATTCATGTTTCCAAGTCACCATCGATTTTCTTTTTGGTCCGTTAGCCCTTAACTACTATTAATATCATGCTTGTAACATTTTCTCAATAATGCTATGAGCAGCATAATTCTGCATCAGAACTGTGATTCCCAATTTCGAAAGACACGTGTCCCCCTCCCCCTGAAATGAAATGAGATGTGCCTAATGCTACAGTTTTTCTCATGGTTTTAACATTTTTATCGAGTTATAAAATATTGTAAAATACAAAATACAAAAGTAAATAGAAAAGCAGTAGCGGGGAGGGGAAAGGGGAAGAAAAACGAGGAAAGATAGTGGAAAAAAAAAAGAGAAGGAAAAGAAGCAACGACTTCTGACTCTCTCTGCTTTAGTAAAATAAGACATTAACATGAAATTGCAACTTTTTGCTTTTTACATGATAATATGAACCAAGCGATTTCTATAAAGATCTATCAGTCTAACTGGTAAAACCCAAAGTCAAAGTTTCATTCTTTTCCATTTCAAGCACAAAGTTCAGAAGTGGCCTCCATGTGGAAACAAAAGTACTTGGATTCTTTTCTTTAATTGGAGTAGTCAATGCTACATAGTTTTTCTCTATTTTTATTTTCAGGGTTGGATTGATAACTTCAACAACATAAGTGGCTCCTTTGTCTCGGTAAGTAGAGTAGTGATGGGATTCAAAAAAAATTATTACTGGTTTCTTGGGCGTGGCTTGGTGGGCGTGGTATGGCTTTGTGGGCATGGCAGGGGAAGGTTACTGCAAAATCCCCATTCCCTCCCCACCCCACTAACCTGCTTTCCAGCTCCGTTCTCCTGTGCAGGGCAACAAAAGGAGACCCAGCCGATCAGCTGGGACTCAATGGGAGGCAGAGAATAGATGGGGGCAGGGCCAGTCAGAGGCGGTATTTGCCGGTTCTCCAAATTACTCAAAATTTACACTACCAGCTCTCCAGAACTGATCATAGAACATAGAACAACAGAGCTGGAAAGGACCTTGGAGGTCATCTAGCCCAACCTTCTGCTTGAGCAGGACGGTCTATTCCAAATATGGTCAGAACCTGCTGAATACCACCTCTGAAGTAGAGATGAGATTCAGGTCTCCTGAATCTTAGGGCAGCAAAAGAAGGAAACCACGAGAACCAAAGCTTGAAGCTCAGCTGTGAAGAGATGGTGGCAGAACCCTTACAGAGCATAGACCAATCCAACAGCTCACAACTCTGCCCTTTTAGCTTTTTGAACAATTATATCCATCAACACACTGAAAGAGCAGGTTCTGTGAATGGAAGAAGTGGAAAGTGTTCTTTCCCAGTTCCTTAGTATACAAGTAGTCCTCGACTTACAACCACAACTGAGCCCAAATGTTTGTTGCTAAGTGAAACATTTGTTAAGTGAAATAGAATAGAATAGAATAGAATAGAATAGAATAGAATAGAATAGAATAGAA